CCAGCAGAGGCGGGAGTGCGCTAGCGGATGTCGGAGCTGTCCGGAAACCTTTGGGGCTCCATACTTAGGGAGGCATAGGTAATATATTGAAAAGAGGGGGTGGTGACCATCGAAGAGAAGCAGAGGTGGTTGCGGAATACGGGAGCTCTGAGGTTAGTGAGGAAGGAGCAGAGGTAGTCCGGAGAGCTCGGAGGTAGTGGAAGTCGATGGCCGAGTATGGATATGACAGAACCGAAGAAGTAACCTTCTTCTCACCCTTTTCCACTTCAGGTAAGTAGCATAGCATTCCCTTTTAATAATAATAACACCCTTTTCCACTTCAGTCTAAGTGGCCAGGGACTGCCTCCTGAGCCGGGCCCACCAGTATGCACGCCCGCTCTGCACCCTGCGAGACTTCTAGTGTTGGGTGTCTCACCCAGGCCTCCTCTACCCCAGACGTGTCCCTGACAATACTTGACTTGGACTGACAAGTGATCCCTGACACTGAATGCTCATTTCAATCTGTGGATATGGCTCAGATTCTTGGATTGGGTATGGAGTTTATTTACTGCAACAAATAGACCATTGCCTGAACTAAACACTCTGCATACAAATGAAGATGGCATATTTAATTTGAAATTGCAGTATGGTTTGTTAGAGGGTTCCTCCCAAACTGGATGTCCAAGCTTGCAGCGCAGTGCTGAAGGCGCTGCAAGCTCAGCCATCCAGTTTGAGGGGAACCCTCATCACAATTGTAGCCTGGTATACAGGCAGGATCAGGTCACATGGAGGTGCCACATCAGCCTTGGATGGGGCTGAACCTTCGTAGGTGGTTCTGCAGGTGATCCTGGGTGTTAGGAGAGAGAGATACAAGTGGGAATGCGTGGTGCATCTGGCAGTGCGGTACCTGCATGGGGTGTCCAGCATTGGGCACATCTGCACTACAGATGCAAAGAGGGAGTCATCTGTATAAAGATAGAGAGAGAGAAAGGAGGAAAGAAGGAAAAGAAGAAGGGAAGAAAGGAAGAAAGAAGAGAGAGAGAGTGGTGCAAGTGGAGCAGCATGCCCTGACACCTGGCTACTATCTGTCGTAAACATTTTGTATTTGGTTTTGATCCATGCATCATGACGTCCTAATACAATAGCCTCCGAATCCCACCTACCTAGATCGACTTGTAGAAAGGTCAAAGCACTATAATTGGCATGAATTTATGCCTCTGCTTTATCTGCAGCTGGAGAAAAGGAATGCATGCCATCCTGGGAAACTTTAACCCACTCCTACAGTGCACTTACTATGCACTTTCGTTCTTGGCCAGCTGCTCATTTTCCTGCTTCTCTTTCTGCATGTCCACCTGGCTATGTACCAATTTTCAGCACAACCTTCACGTTAAGCTTCTAAAACTTTGGTGTCTCAACTGCAAATGAAGGCAGGCTCGCCATACTCTCATCTCCTCTTCACCTTGATCCAAATCCGGAAACTGTGAGTCGATTTGAAGTGTTGAGTGGGTGGATTAGGTGCCTTAACTCGGCAGGCTAGTCAGCCAGTTAACCCACCCTATCAAGGGGTGTTTTTTACGCTTCAAATAGGGCCTAAACAGCCTATTTCAATGTGGATGTCCTGGGACGTCCTGGTGATGTGGCTTGCTGCCAAAAATGGACTGTGGGAAAATCTGAGGACATCCTGATAACTATGTGCTCTGCGATGTTAGGGGAAGTTGTACATATGGCTATTTACATAAATAGTAGACAGGAAAATGGAAAAGATAAATCAAAATTATTGAAATTAGGGGCTGAGGTGGGGGAATGGGCAATGTTTCTCAATGATTTTGAGCATTTATGGAATTATACTTTGCTGTGGTGTTTTCAAAGGGATTTTAAAGATTTTTGAGATTTTACGAGCCATTGTAGATAACCATTATCACTGGTATGTGCAAGCCCCTTTCCCACACACTATGGGTTGCTTGAGAGGCTGGCATCTCTGTCAAATCTCCACCGATTTGGAAGATTCTCCTCTTTCCATCACTTAAAAGTACATACAAGCTCTGGGTAAGAGGAAATTTATAACTTCATAGCTAGGAAGAACACACATGTTATGTCACATGTAAGCATATATATTACCACATTCAAGTTCTAACATGTGTTGTCATGAATATTCACCAAACATGGATTGCACAGGAAAAGGGAAAGGTCAACATCCAGAGTCTCTCAGGAGTCTTAAAAATATGAAAGAATATTGTGAGTGCCTGTGGAGTATACTTTTCTTATAGTACCAAGTTTGAGAGAAATCAATGGCAGGTTTGTCAATATATTCACAAATTATGCCGATTGATGGCCACACAATGAATAAAGTTGACAATTTCCACAATGGCTGCACTGAATCTCTCCGCTACAGTCTACTTCGATTCGTTTTGATGACAGCTTTCTAATGATACAAATTATGTGGAAATCGATGAAGAAATGGGGGATATATGGGGGAAATACTGCTGGAGCAGCCTGATATGAAAGAAGGTCGACACGAAACCAAACCGTCCCCTTTTATGCCTTTTTTTGAGCACCAATAACCTCTCCTCCCCTTCAGCTTTCCAGCAAGCTCAATTTTATTCAAATTGGCCCAGTGGTTCTTGACAGGTGCTGTCAAGTCCACGTGAGATTCAGCATGGTGTTGAATGGACTACATGCAAGAATCTCTACTAATATTGGTCCATTCAGCACAAAGATTTTCATGATAGGAGAAATAATCCCGCTCTATCGATCGAGCATAAGAAGGTTTGTTTTAAAGGCATAGTTGTGGAGATCATGGGGTAAGAAGTTGAAAGTTATGTTATGCATGAGAATCCTGCTTGGGAACTGAAAATGGTTTCGGAAAAATAGAAGAAAATTGGAAAGAGCGAGTAATGTGAGTGGGAAATGGATGTGAAAACAGTGGAAGGACTAGGCCTGTGTGCTTTGTAGGCTACAGCATAAAATCCATAAAAATAGTTATTTTGTCGTGCATGAACTTTTCCCTGTAGAAACAAACAGAGATAATATGCCATGGTAGCTTCAAGAACATTTCAATTGGCTTTAAGAAATGGAAAACACTAATAAAAGAAATTACAAAAGACAGAACAATAAGAAAGTGGCCTGGAAACCCAAAATTGTGTTGGAAGCCTCAACCGCTCCCCATAACCGTGCTAACCTTACACCATTCAACTATACTACACCTTAGCTTTCCAACGCAGCTGGTCTCATTCAAAACAGTGGAAAAATGAGCAAGATAGTATGGGAGGAGTGGGGAATATATCATGCATTTCCCCTATCTCGCTGAATAGTAGTTCAAATGTCCTCAAAGTTTGTGCACTGCAATACATGTCTTCAAAGTAAACTTTACATATTTTCTCGTATTTTTTCGACATCTGAGAAGCACTGAGCTTTGACCTTGCATGTCATTTCCCATGCATGTCACTCCTGTGCAGTGTTGAGTGAACCGAGAATTGGACATTTCTCCATCAGTTCTCAGCCATTTTCCATCGGGTTTTTTGCAATAAATTCCTCTAAAATTCCTCTTTATTTCGTATTATTACTCCAACTCATGATTCTGCAATTTCTAGGATGCACACAGCTACAGAAGTGGATAGCAACAGACATGTGACTTCAGTTTGAATTACAGATGTCCCAGACAGAATGTTTGAATTGAAAGTGAATTCTCAGGACGTCTCCAGACTTGAACCCAGCCATCTCTGCTTCATGGACATGCACTGCACAATGTTAGAAAACAACTAAGTTCCCTTTGTATTACAATTCAAAAATCACGTTTTCCAGGGGAATCTGCAATCAATGAACTTCATTCAATGGGCTTAATACAGTTTCAATATAAATAATTAGTCACATGTAACAGGGTTAAGGAATTCATGTCCGATCATCTACTCCGAAAACCCAGTGCACGACACTTCGCTACGATGACTGGTTCACTTTGGCAGTGGCGATGCCCACTGGCAAACCCTGAAACAACTTGGGTCTCAAAAAGGAATCTCTCAGAAGTGCCCCCTGCACCCTTTGTGCCCCTTCACCATCTTTCACACTATGAACTTGCCTGCGGACCGTGCAATGGATGTGGGGACACCTTCCACCAAGCATATAAGGAATCAAAGTGAAGTGGCTTGGAACCGACATGCTTGCTGGTTCCAAGCTGAGATTGCCGAGTCCCTGCCCTGCAAGCCAAAGCAGAATTTAGTATCAACAGCTGCAACAGGGACAGGGAAAACCTACACTTTTTTCCTTCCAGCCCTCTTTGAAAAAGAAAACCTGGGAGTCTCTTTTATCATTGTACCACTGAGAAAACTGGCGGATCAACATGTGCAAAGTGCTAAGGATCTAGGACTCACTGCAATAGCACTGGAAGTGATGATGATAAACAAGGAAACCGTTAAGGCATGTATTTATCAATTATTGGTTATGCCGTTATGTTATTCATCGAGCAGGAGATCAGGAATGGAGTATATCAGTTTGTCATTCTAGGACCCAATTTACTGCGAGGGAATTTGCTTAGACCTCTGTGGATGAGCGATGCATTTGTTGACAAAATTAACCATATCATTGTGGATGAAGCGCACTGTGCTGTTCAGTGGCTGTCATTCTGAGCAGCATATAAAAACCTAACATGGCTTTACTCATGCCTCCAGAATAGGTGCCAATGGTATCTAACTTCCGCCACATTGGACACTCACATGTGCAGAAAATTATTGTCAGAAATTGGCTTGGACCCTTGGTATAACGCTTACAGTGGCAAGATGACCAAATGGATGCATCACTCCAATGACCGCCCAAACCTCCATTACTGTGTCCACCAAATGCAACACAGCAAAGAATCATGCAGTGACCTTGGGTTCCTTGTCCCACTTGGCCTAAAAGAATCCAATCCCCCTCCAATCCCATTTCTCATGTACTGTGAATCCCAGAGCAACGCCGAGTGGAGTGCCAACTTCCTCAGGTCATGAGTTTGCGCATCCCTCCAAGAAAAAGTTGTTTGGGTTCACTCTGGGATGTCGGACAGACATAAGTTGCAGGTAGTCAACTCATTTAAGGAAGGGAAACTCATTGGACTTACGAGTACAGAAGCATTGGGACTGGTTTGAATTCTTGTTGTATCTCTTGTGTTGTATATCTGAATGAGATTAAACAGGGCCATGATCTAGCAAATGTGACCCGTTTGATTCAGTTTGGTCCACCAGATAACTTAAACACATTGACTCAGCAGTTTGGAAGAGCTGCATGAAATCCGGACATTTCGGCAATCGTTGTTCTTCTTGTGCTGAAAGACTACTTTGAGCCAACCCATTGCCAGCGAGAGGAGAGGGCTCTGAGGTCAGCAGGGAGCCAGAAGAGGAAGAGCAATGCTGCAACGGCTGAGCAGAGACAAAGTGACAAGCATCGAAAAAGGCTTCAGACAGAACGCCAAGTTGATGTTGCCATCACCACTGAAAACCAGAAATTTGACAATGAGTTACTTGAACTGCACTGTCCAGATCTAGCATTTCCGCCCAGGGTCGATGTATGGCCTACTAGTGATATTGGCCCCAATCCTCCACTCGAAATTGTGGGCATCAATGACAAGGAGAAACAACCTCTCAACCCAGAGGTGGAGTGGGAAGGATGGGACAATGTGACATTCACTGATCTTGAAGCACTGATCGATGAGGCAGAGAAAGACATCGATGATGCATGGGCAGGGATGGGGGAAGGTGATCATAGTTGGGAAGCTGTGGCAAGTGGACAAGTGAGCAAGTGGGCCACCAAGATTTAGATGTCAATACTGTCATATCCATACAATCCCGACCTCCGCTCCGGGCTCCCGGAACTCCGAACTCCGACTTCCGGAGCCCTACTTCCCTTCCGTCACCTTCTCCTTGCCGACTCCCAAGAGGTTATCCCACCTCCGGCTCGGACACCACCTTCGGTCCGACTCCGGAACATTCCGGGTCCGACCCCAACTTCGACACCTTCCAGACGAGTACGCAAAACCTATGCTCCCGACTCCAGACCTCCGCTCCGGGATCCCGTTCACGTCTCTGTCTCCGGAACCTCCGGTCTTAGCTCCGACCTCGGACTTTGACCCCACCTCCGCTTATACCCATTGTATTGGTTAGCTCATTCCATTTAATTACCTTTGCCAATATTCCGGAGTTTAACTTCCGAGTTCGGACTTTCCGGACTTACCTCGGACCTTGCAACTATTGCATTAATCCATTCAATTCCGCTATTCTCCCTCATTCCTATTTGGGCTGCTACTTCCTTTCTATTCAGTCAGCTAGCCATTCCCCACTCCCAACCTCCTTCCTTCCTCCTTGGGCCTTGGCCCTTCATTCCTCCTTTGGGAAACACCATTGAGTCAAACCCTTGACCCTCAGTGTTGTTCCTCTTTCCATCTCCCTTTGTTTCCTTTTGTCCTACCCTTGTTCCTTTTGATTCCGGACCCCTCCTTATATACAATGTACCTAGTAACTTGTAACCTCAGTCCGAAATCGACCTGAATTCCCCCCAAGAGACTTTCCCTCTGCTAGATCCGAAATTAGGGACCCCTAGGACAACCAGCAATGGCACAGCGCTCCGCTTGAGTCGCTGAGGCTGAGGTCCTTCCATGCTAAGTCTCCGATTCCACTCCGGAGTCGTCCGAATCCACCCAGTTTCTAACAAATACTGACCTCAGCAACCAGACTGAAGCAGTTTGGCATGATGCCGCATTCGAAGACACCCAAAAAGAAGAAGACCAGAAGAAACCCAGGAGACTGTGAAAATGTTGACCCTGGATTGGATGCCTTCATCAATGCCCAATGGCTTCCAAAAGATGACCCTTGCCTTGGATGCCAGAGGAAAGTCCTTGAGGTACACTTTGGTAATGACCACATCTGTATGTATTGAGGTTATGTCTGGCAAGTGCATGCAACTCACTTATGTCAGCGAAACCCCGTTCATGTTGTAAACGCTGTGATTTGCACAAGCCTGTGACTTGCTGCGATCTTCACACCCCTAGTCTTGCTGCCTCTATGTTCCATCAGGAACTTGCAGTGCAACCATCCAAGTGGCATCCTCAGCATGTGAAACCAAACTACATAAAGGATGTCAAGCATTCTGCTCAGCTCAGCTGTGCCCTTAAGGGCTGGAGGAAAGACAAGTTTTCTCACCATTATCCTGGACATCAAGACAACTTGTGGATAGGCGATTGGGCAGTACTTGGGGACTCCATCATCAATGATATTGTGTACGATGCAAACTTCAACCAGCTGTCAACTCCCCAAGACTTTATGCAACTCATTGACTGGGAGGAGTGAGGCCGCTATGCCTTCATGTTATTACCAATCATTCTTACAGCTTTCCCCCTTCCCACACCACCACCTGCTCAGCCTCAACTGCCTGTTCAGCCTTCCACCTTAATAGAAACCGGGGCTGCCCTTCCTCTTTGCATGAAAAAGTGCGGAAACTGTGGCAACTGCAGGCACAATGGTGAGATTCTTTGGTCACTCCGACATGTTTAACACTCATTATTTCTCTGCTAGCTCGCACTTGCCCCAAGCAATGCAAGGCTTGTAACCAGCCAGGTCATTCCAGTAAGTAATATGTGCTCCTACATACAAACATGATATGTTAACATTGTTTTAGGGACACACTGTCCAAACAAGGAAAATTCCGCCACTTGCTCTGATTTAACCATACCACGTCATCAAACGTCCAAGTCATCTGCCTCAATTTGGTAAGTCTCATCAGTTTCATCCATTGATTCCGATTGTCTTATGTTGTTTGACCCTCCCATTGTGCCACGTTGGAATACTTCAAGACCCTTCTGAATGTGATCTTCTATCAAGGTGTGTGAAGCACATCCCTTCACATATTTGTGAGGATGAAGGTTACGAAGTTTGCATTGGATAGCGACTAATCTGGATTCTATGTCAGGAGTTGCATGGTGAAGGGTCTTGTTTGGTATGTGGTAATCTTCCTCAACATCTTCAATGCAGGTTCGATAAGCCTGAATTATCGATGACTGACTAACAATGTATTCTATTGTTTTTCCAGACCCTGTACCTGAGTAGACAACCTAGATGCATGTACCACAATAAGTAGTCCAAAAATCATCATTCATTTCACCTGCACCTTCATATAAAGATTCATCAATTCCACTTGCCAGTCGATTGCCTGAAATCCCCCCCTTTTCCCAGAGGGGTTACACAGCCAGCACCTCTTAACAGCCTCTTGAAGTGGATGTGGGTAATGTTGCAGCCTGGAGAGGAACTTTGAAAGGTATGTCACATACTTATGTTTTCCACTTACTTGGAAAAGTGGAACCCAGAATGTAAGGACATCAATTATCATGTCAACCATTCCATAGTTCATCGCATGCACGAGGATGCGATAGTACATTGCATCTCAATTGAACGTAAGTTGGTTCTCCCTTCTTTGATCTCGGTCTTCTTGATTAATAACATTATTTCATTTTGATCCAAAGTGTGTCCTTGTGATCTCCCCTGCATGTTGGTTGATCTCTTCCAACGTGGGCTTGGAAGCCACAAATCCTTTGATGTCACCTCCCAAACTCTCTGCTCAGGCATCAAGAATTGTACACTGGGTAACGTAATGTAATCCATCATTCAGCATCCGAAAAGGAGGGACTAGTTTGTTCAATTTGGAGATGTCATTTGGGAAAAGCGAACATAGGAGCTTGTAGAGCCCATTCAGGTCACTTCATAAGCCATCCCCTATTGCATAGATCCTGTTTATTGCATCGACACATGCCATTCTGACATGAAAGAGTCCTGGTACAGGTAGAAGGTAGTGCATTCATTTGAACACATTTTCCTCAATCCACTGCAAGCTCAAGATCCTGTCAATCTTCTCCATCGTCCCAAGATCCCCATGAATAAGGATGACATATTTCTCAAAAACTCCTTCCTTCACAATACCACTCTGATCAAGAAGCGATGTTATTGCCTCGATATTCCCATCAATGGTAGATGCTTTTGCATACACAGCTTCTGCTGTTGAGAACTCCGTTTTATGTGGTGGCAAACTGAAGGTTGATGGCAGGTCGATAAGATGTGATCGCATTTCTGGGAAGTGCTGTTCAATTAATACTGATGCAATGTGCCACTGAAAATGCTCCACCAACTTGAATGAAGCTTCACTCTTCAGTATAGCGTCGATGGGGCTGATTGTGGGTGGGGCGTTTATGGCATTGGGATTATTTGGGTGAGTATCCCATAACCATTGGGCATATTCTAAGTGCTGAGGGAGCACTTCCTTTGGTGGCGCAAAAAACAGGCCCATTGTGATGCTTTTGAATGTCCAATCTTTGAGGTCTGTTGACTGGCCGATGCTGAACTTGAAGTCACAGTTGTCGTATGCAATGTTGGTAACACAGGTGGGTCCAAGACTTTTGTTCAAGACCTTCTGATTGATTATCAGTGATGTCCAAAGGCTCTCACTGGTTGAAAGGGAGACCACGAGTCCGCAGTGTGCAGCCCATGCACGAACCGATTTCGATGCATTCGAGGCAGCCAAATAGAAGGAGTTTTTTACTTGCAAAGCATTGCAATGGCTATTGTAATTATTCAGGATAATTGACATGATTACAACACCTTTCTGTGCGCAATTCCAGAGTCAGTGATTGATCATATTTGTTAAGAATCTTTTGACTTACAATTTGGAGCAGAGCATAATTTCTCTCTGGGTAATTGTAGTTCCCCTTCAACTGCTTTCCAGCACTAACATGATCCCCATCATCACCCCCATCTCTCCCACTGCCCATCTCAGCACTTGGAGGTGCCAGCTTCGCCCAGCGCCTTGCCCATGTCTTGCTTTCCACAGTAAGTAAATGGGTGATCAGGGCCCACACTGCTGGTGCCTTAGATTCGAATAGTGGCTTCAGCATGCTGATTCTTCCATCTTCAAGTTGTGTTGGGTGAAGGTGGGTGGCATTCATGCAAAGCCTGCTCTCTTTTTCCATAAGTACTTGTATCTCTTCTGTGTAAATCGCTTGAGCACTTGTAAGGATCCAGTTTCTCACAATCGCTGTGCTGCCAAGCTCAGGTGCAGGATTGAGAATCCGGATGTGAATTTCTCTTAATTTATTACCAAAGTCCCGGGAGGTCAAGATTGTTGACATGCAATTAATCACATCCATTGCATGGTCCGCAGGCAAGTTCATAGTGTGAAAGATGGTGAAGGGGCGCGAAGGGTGCAGGGGGCGCTTCTGAGAGATTCCTTTTTGAGACCCTAAAGTTGTTTCGGGGTTTGCCGGTGGGCATCGCCACTGCCAAAGTGAACCAGTCATCGTAGCGAAGTGTCGCGTGCTGGGTTTTCGGAGTAGATGATCGGACATGAACTCCTTAACCCCGTTACATGTGACTAATTATTTATATTGAAACTGTATTAAGCCCATTGAATGAAGTTCATTGAATGCGGATTCCCCCGGAAAACGTGATTTTTGAATTGTAATACAAAGGGAACTTAGTTGTTTTCTAACATTGTGCAGTGCGCGTCCACGAAGCGGAGACGGCTGGGTTCGAGTCTGGGACGTCTCAGGACGTCCTGGGATGTTCCCATACAAAAGAGGCCTCTAGGCCCTCTTTGAACGTCCTGAGAACCCCCCTCTATAGGCCTAGATATCGGTTGTCCAAGGTGAACCCGGAGTCCGTATCCATGCGATCGCGTTGGGCCTAACCAAGCACCATCATGATAGTTGCGGTGCCCTAAGCCTTAACAGTCCGTTCTTATCTATTTCTTCATTTACATGCCAACCCATGTTCTAAATCCTAACACTCGGTCTGATCAACAACTGGGCTGGAGTTAGGTAGGTTTGTCGCATCCGGGATCACACATCTTCTTCATATATAGAATCCACACATCTACTCGGTGGCACATATCCCCACTCACAAACCACGACAATTGTGTTTCATCATTTGGTTAGTCGTTTGTTCCTCCCCGATGCACCCATTGACCCACAGCCCGCGTTTCTAATACAACCCACTTGGCACCGGCTCTACCCCGACATCTCATAGCTTTGTTTCTTCCCCCGCCCTAGAACTCGTGATTTTCCAATTTATCCCATACATTGAGTACTGGTGCAATATATGTTGAGCAGGAATATCGAGGCGGCGTAAAGAGCCATCTCAATAACACGGTTGCTCTCATGCCCTAGCAGGGTGATTGTCATTGTCAATGATATCGATTACACTAGCACTCAACGAGGGTCGCCGTCTCTCAGATTTGACGCGGCGTTGCGGACCTCAAGGACTCGCCCAAAGAGTGCTGAATGATAAGGTGAGAGTAATTTGTCAAATTTAGCCCATTCCCCCCCGACAACTATGCACCTGTCCATCGTCTTCATTGGTGTATGCAGGTGCAATCCTTCCTGATGTAATTATGTGCATATTTTAATACCCTTGCTATTCCCGAGACAACTACAATGCGAACTGTCACCCAGCTGATTAACAAGTACAAAGAATGTGGATCATAGACTTGTACTAAACGATTTGGCTAATATCAACGACGATAGGGGCTCTCATACGGCCCTGAACCAAAAATCGTGTCCCGTCCTTGCTGGCACGGGGAAAGTAGACGAAATGTTGAGCCTTTATCACTCGATCTCCATACCATACTTCTTGCCTGTCAAGATACTTTATATCAAACTCGAATGGATAGTATTGGAATGGGAGAATGAGTTTCAATGTATTGTCGAGCAATAATTTCAGTTTAGGGGTGTCCAGTTCTTCATGGCGTCCATAATTGACCGATGACAGCGGAAGTCTTGGCTGCTGTGAGAGTTGCAAGCTTCTATGTGACAGCGATTCCAGCCACGATTTGTCTGAATCAAACTTCGTCCCAGAGCCAAGCGTATGAGGGATACCATCCAGTGGGTATTCAATGGACCCACTGGTGATGTACGGGCGGTACGGTGTTATGCCTGTAACAAAAACTCCGAAATCCCATACGTGATGACTGATTATGAACTCCCTTGACGCTGTCGACCAAATGAAAGCCTGGTTTTGATCACAAGCGACAACGTATCGTGCCCCAGGAGACAATTCAAGCGAGAGGCAGTGAGAATGGTGAGCTGGAACAGTAGTATGTATAGTCCTAGGAGAGGAAAGGTAACGCATGGATGGCTTCCCCGAAACATACAGGATCGACACACTTTTATACCAGTCGGGATCGAGATACCGTGGGAGTCGTACGATGAATGATCCATCGTCCGCTGCCACAGTGACAGAAGGATAACACCCGCTGGGGAGCGCACCAAGCTTCAGGGGCTGTGAACCATGGCCGAAGATGAACACATTCCCTTCATTATCTTCGGTAGCAATCCGGTGCCTGCCGGAGATAAACTCGATCCACACTGGGGGACTACACGAGTCACATTGGAATCGGGCGATGGAATGCTGTTGATCAATGTCAACCACTTCGATGCCACCATCTCCGAAGCCGAGTGCGACATGACTACCGTCTTTGGAGATTGCTGCAGAAGCCACTGTGCCTTCACGAATATCGAGGTCAAGAAATTCAGCCTTGTAACCCGGCTGCTCCCTTGGCAACCTGCTTAGCTTTGCCTCCATAATCTTCCGAGCATTTTGTGCATGCTCGCTTAATGGAATCAGATGACCAGCAAACTCTCCGGAAATGCTGAAGATATGAACAGGGTCAGAGAGATGACTGTACGATTTGAAGAGTAGAGATGAGGTTGGAGTGAAGGGAATAATGGAACGGAAGATGTGCCAAGGATAAAACCCTTCAAGTTCGGACAAGTGGCCATGAGGACACCAGTCAACTACATCTTTGCTCGCTCCCTCCGCTTCTCTTAATAGTCGAGTGTAATTATAGTTCTAGAGTGAAATGTGTCACAACATTCAAGACATCAGAATCCATTGAGTATAAACTCACGTTAGATTGACGGAATTTATTCGGGAACGTGAATTTACCGTGCGACAGTATGATGAACCAAAGTAAGTTATGGGTAAGGAAGTAATCAAACTCCTGCTGCAGTTCATTGGAATCTTGCGAGAACAGCTTTGAGGAGTCCAAGTGGCTGAACAAGTATTTGACAGCATATCGGATATGTTCGGGTTGCCACTTCCACCGAAATTTCGTCCACTTCTTCTCATCTCCTAAAGGATGATCGGTGGGCATTTCAAATCCCCTTAGGAGTCGAAGGAGCGGTAACCCAAGGAAATACCCATCCTTATCATCGATAAAGAAAGGATGGTCACAGGTGCCACTGATCGGATGCCCCACGATGAACTCCTTCGCTGCTGCATGATAAAATTTGGGCTGCCCCCATGTTGTTGAAGGAAGATAGACGATTGAACTGATTGGTCTCAAAGTTGCATAGACTTCATCTTCCGTAATTCCCAAAAGCTGCGCAATGGAACGCAACCTCAACGATTCCCGCGCCACAGCAATCGTCCCCACTACAAGGCGGTAATTTTCAATCACATTTGGGCGAACAGACAGTGATTCCAGCGTATAGGCTCGCCGCAGTATTCGCACGTACTCTGAATTGAGATCAGTCGGTGCATCCAAGAGATTTCGGAAGTAATCGAACTCCGATTTGAGGGTGGCACCTCGTTGAGTCTGAGCACAGACTTCACGTATACGCATCGAGGCAATAACGGGCAATTCGCGACATGCTGAAGCAAAAGTATCGAGTTCCTCCTCCAATGGTTTCCATAATGATTCCGAGATGCGGATCTTCAACCCATCATCTACCATGCGGCGTATAGTGCGAAAAGTTTCGCTTTTATTGATCATGTCCATGTTTTCGCACGGAATGACATCACCCCAAACTCCACCTTGAGCCTGAGCCCGAATAACTTGCGTCTCTGGACGTGAGCTGACTAATACGGCAAATGCCGAAGGCAGACCCTCAAGCATCATCACGAGCCTCATTAGGGATTCAAGCGCCTCTTGGTTCCCACACTCGTCCAATCCATCCAAGACAATGGCGAGATGTTCCTCCCCTGATGAAAGCATGTCCTTGATGCCACCCATAGGTTTAATGACCAGAGCCCTCATTTGTTCTTCTAGAGGTAGACTCTGGACCATCCTAAGAGCCGGGTCCTGAAGCTGCTTGACGAGCAGAATTTCGTAGTCTGCACTGAAGTGTGCAAGCTGGTATGCAAGAGCGGAGGGAAACATTTCGATAGAATCAAGGCCGGTGCCTTTTCGGTTTTTATCCCAAAAGAACGATGCTGCCAGAGCACCTTGCCTGTCCAGAGTGGATGAGATACTTTTGCATATCGCTGTTTTCCCGGTACCAGGAGAACCTCGCAGCCATACAAATCGGCTCTCGGCATTCCTCAGATGATTCAATAGAGAATCCTGCATCCTGGCCCGCGTGTCTGGGAGGCACTCCGATTTACTCGTAACGAACTTGTACCCGGCAGGAACCTGGCCCAATTCTGAGAGTTCAGCTGATAACAGTGATAAATATTATGCCCGAAATCATGCACGGCAACATACACTTTGAGTATGACTTTATTGTCTGGACGAGCGTCGAAACCGTGGCTTCAGTCTGCAGTACACATCTCGATCAGCCAATGATTAATGCTTGAGGTGCTGAACAACGAACCGAGAATGACGTAACAGCCTTATTTATGCACACCTTTACTTCATTTATGCTCTGGGTAATTTGCTTTGATAAAAACACCCTCTTAAGGCGACTTTGACTCTGTAGTGACTTGATTTGCTGAATCTGCTCCTCAAGAACCCTGTGGAAGGGGTTGTTTAATGCTGATAACTGAGAAAGAGGCTGAGGAACGTACGAGTGGAAATCTTTGATCAGATCTGTCAGTTGGGGAGGGATGCTCCCTATCCATAGCTGTAGTGGTCGAAAAATAGTTGTATAAGCCTTTTGAACCTCATCGTTTAAGCCTTTGAGATCTTTGTGATTGTTATCCACTGACTGTACGGATCACCAGCAACATGTCAGCACTGATCGTAAAAGCCCGAACTGTAACCCAAACCTCGTAGACTTGGAGCAATGTCAGGAGTAAGTCAGGGATCTGACCAAGATGCGGAATAGGGGTTAGCTTGAGAGCAGCCGAAGCGACTTGGAGAACGGTCCCTGCACCGCTAATGAATGATTTCTTTCTATCCCCACCTGCACTGGTAGATGACGATGACACTGGTTCCGGCAAGGAAGGGAGAGATCGCAATTCGAGGTTGGCAAGGTTGACATGGACCAGGGGGTCCTCAGAGGAAGTTGATGCTTGTGATAGCGACTGCAGATCATTCTCAGGGGTAGGGCGCTTCGTTTTGGGGTGTTGGGAAGGATGCGACACCTTTGTTTTGGGGGGCATTACAGTTGTGGACAGTAGTAGAGGTAAAGATTGGCACTATTCCCTCAGCACGCCCCCTGAGATGAGCGCAAAAGGAAATATACACGTGATCAGGGCCGAACAAAAAATGATGGGAACATCCCCTCCCTGTCGGGCCTCGACGATGGATGTGAGTCGAGGGGGAGTTCTGCTACCACAGCGAACACCCGGCACGGGCCTAAACCTTCACGCGGTGGCCCTGTTTAAAACTAATTAGGCCTCTAACATCTGAAGGGAGGATGACGTGGCCACCGTGGTAATGCCAATCAACCGCAACCCCGTAAGCCCAGAGCCGCACTGGCTGGAGAGATGCAAGAGCGCGGGTGCACGTCCCGCCATCAAGCCAACCCTTCCTTTTTCTTCTTACCACTACCTTTTTGGGATGACGAGCACGATAGTGGCAACGCCAATGGTGACCTCCGTAAGCCCAGACGGGACTGGCCAGAGGACTGTGGGTTCAAGTCCCACCGTCACCCCAACCCTTCCTTATTCTTCTCTTCTCCACTACCTTTTGGGATGGTGAGGTGCAATAGTGGTAGCGCCAATGGTAGCCTCCATAAGTCCATGGGCACGGAGGAGTTGTCAGGGCACACCCGCCTGACCCGGCTCCACCCGGCCCAACCTGACCCGGTACCCCGCCGGTCCACCATTCCTTACCTCCTTCCCCTTTCCCTTCTTCCCCCTCATCCTCCCCTCCTCAGTCTCTCCTTATCTTACTTCTCCTTTATTCTCTCTTTATTCTACATGGACGACTTTCTCTGTATCAATGTACAACTGACCCATCTGCAGCGCGCCCACCATGTACCCGGCCCGGGCACCTCGGGCGACTTCCCGCTGTGCCCAGCACGCGTGCCTGCACCGGATACCCTCGGGATCTCCCACGGAGACACCCGGGTGGTTACGGCTGTGTGCGAGGGTGACGTGGCATCCGTCATGTGATCCAAGCCGCATGTATATAAACGAACCTGAAGTGGGAACCGAAGAAGTAGCCTTCTTCTCAACCTTCCACTTCAGGTAAGTAGTACAATATTTCTCCTTTAATAATAATAACAACCTTCCACTTCAGTCTAAGTGGCCAGGGACCACTGTCCCACATCGGGCCTGTCAGTACGCACGCCCGATCCGAGGCTCTCGGTCCCGGACGCTATACCCGGACCCCCTCGACCCTGGACGAGTCCCTGACAGGAGTGCAGGTTCAAGTCCTGCCATCACCCCAACACCCTTCTTCCTTCTTTCTCCACTACCTCTTGGGATCATGGGGCACGATAGTGGTAGCGCCGGGAGGGCCATCACCCCAACTCACTTCCTTCTCACTTTCTCCACTACCTCTTAGAGTGATGAGGCGGATAGTGGTAATGCCAGGCTGCCATCACCGCAAAACTTTCATTTCTCTCCACTACCTCTTCAACCGATGGCCCCTCCACCGCATGTCTTTATTGAACACATGAGCTGGAAGCCACTTAACACCCTTGGCTGCTGTCAGGGCAATAGCCCCGAACCCCGAGTCACATGTAAATTAGATACATATAGTCACGTGGGCAAGTGGGAACCTCCGGGTAACTGCTTACACACCACCGTAAAATACACTATCTTGTATCACTTATGGCCTTGTGTGCTGAGCCACCCTAAGACCTCACACTTTTTTAAGTGCAGGAGGTGTGTTTTACAACACAACCCACAACTCTAAAATCTTAACATCTGACTCGGAAGCGCCTATGGCGCCTAAACACGCCCGCAAGGGCAAGGTCACATCTGCAGCGACACTAAAAAGAAATGAGCGGTTTATAAAGAAACCGCAATCTCCCATCTTGGGAGATTCAAACCAAAAGCCGTCATCAGACGACAACGAGGATCAACATGATCCGGCATTAGCAACCACCTCAGGGCTGGTCCCTGAAGGTTTTAGAAACTTACGTGGAGTAAGTGCGGGGCAAAATACCCCCAGAACTCCACAACATACTGATCTAACCCAAGCTGGGGAAGATCCCTCATGTTATAGAAACGGATCTAGAATCTTATGGTCCGTGACTATAGGCAAGCAGACTTTGGGATTCCATCACCTTATTTCGCTGTCAAACCCCATGCCAAGCTTTCCCACTGGGTTTTGGTGCTGGCTGGGGGATTTGTTGAGTTTCAAGGGATTTCCCTTGACCATTGTAATATTTATATTAGATAGTTATGAGTCATATGACATGTAAGGCAGTTGCCGGAATTGTTTTCTCATTATCGAATACATAACCCTAAAACCTTGTACCGCAATTGTAACATCCTCACCATTGTGCCACCACTGTAAACTCAACCTGTAACCCTGGAACCATGTCCACCTCCCTATTCCTCCTCTCCATGACAAAACCGCAACGAGGTGGGCATTCCCACGCCCAACCTCCTGCTGCCCACTCCCACCAGTCCACCGGGTGGTCGAGTGGTTACTCCCATCCAACCAGAAGTTCCCTATCAGGAACTGTAACCTATCCCACCTCCTCAGGAGAAGGATACGGTCCAGGCAGCTCCAGGATGCCTGGCCACACACCCGTGGGTCCCACTTCCCACGGTCACCCACTACCGTGCACTGGTCCACCAGCCCGCTTTCCCCAACAACTCCCGCTACCGGTACGCTCCCATGAGCGCCAAGTCACCGATAGCCACCAACTGGGTGACTCCCTTTGGGAGTCCCAGTATCCCTCACTACCGGTACGCTCCATTGAGCACCAAGTCACCGCTAGCCACACACTCCCAGCACACCCGCTACCGGCACGCTCCCAGGAGCGCCAAGTCCCCATTAGCAGACAGCCAGGTGGCTCCCTCAAGGAGCCCACATCATACTCGCTACCGGTACGCTCCCAGGAGCACCAAGTTACCGTTGGCCGACACACAGGTTACACTGCCAGACACTCCTCCCATTCCGTTCTCCCTCCGATGGCTACGCAGCCACCTCCATTAGTGAGCCGAACGGCTCAGGTTGGGTTCCCCGGAACCCGTCCCTGTAACATTGGTGCCCCAACCCCGGTCGCACCATCATCAAACTCAATCGTGCGACCTCGAGCTCACACACAGGAGGATTACTCATCTAACTTAGGCACTGTCAACTCAGACTATCAGTATTCCACTATCCCACTAAAGCGTGCGCTAGACGAGTTTTCATCACCACGGAGATTCTCTTATGAGCGCACGCCTATGGACTTGCTACATGAGTGGCAACAGCTGGGCCCAGACGACATAGAGGTTCAGTCATTCCGCAAACTGGCTACAGACTCCTCAACCTCTTACCGCATCACGGACGAGCGCGGTCAACAGCTGATACTGATCCTTCAAGCGATGGACCGGTTCACCCAAACCATCTCCAACTCCAATCTCATCCCCGCCATGTTCAAGGCAGACCCAGGACAGATCATCCTTACGACGTTGATCACATTGGGCTGGACCGAGTTAAGCACTTTACATCGAACTTGGAACTATTTACAGCGAAAACTAGCTGATTTCGTTCTACATTTCGAACATGTTAAGGAGGTCCTTGTCCTCACACAGTCCCGAGCAGCGAGCTCCCGTATCGTCACAACCAACCCCTCATTGGTACCAGTACGACCTTGTACACCTGAGGTCGTTGCGATATCGCCCGCTGCGGTGAATCCGGAGTCGCCCTCACTGCGCCTGTCCTCGGTGCCAGATGGCGCAGTTGCAGCCTGTGCATCGAGCACGACACGCCACAACAGCTTGATGCTCCAGTCTCGTCAAACGACTGCTCCTGCGCAACACTCACTCGAGCCGGCACACCCAATGGTGCAACTTTGTCCAATTGTGGCAGGTTCGTTATGCGCAGGGCACCTCACCAGCCCAACTCGTCGCAAGACAGAATTGATATCACTGGCTGCTCGTTTGGTTCGACCAGCTGCTGACCGTTCAATAAGCACTACGGGCCTCATTAGACCATCACGTTACAAGGGCAAACTGCCATCCTTGCCCATTCAGTTGAACCTCTCAACCGATCCGACACAACGCCTGCCCGAGCTATCACACTCACATAAGTCGTTGCATCCAGATGCAACCTGCCCATCGAGTGCCAGGCACCTTGACGGTCCAACACAGCACACAGTGGAATCGACGCTCCCAACTGTCCAGACGGACCAACCATCCGCTCTTCCGCAACACCTGTTTAAAGTGCATTGCTCAGTCCAGGCTGGTTCACTGATTGCGACTCACTCCACTAGTATGACGCACCGCATGGCAGAATCATCATCTGTGCCTGCTCAACCAGTCGAAGCAACGGACCCAGCTGTCCAGCTGGAGCGTCTGGCTGCACCTTCGCAGTGCTCTTCAGAGCTGGCACGTCCAATTGAGTCAAATTGCTCAAACACCGTCTGTTCATTGACTGAGCTGGGTCCCTCCACTGGTCCTTCACGGTGTCTGCCCGAGCCAACACATGCAGATGAGCCACATCGCTTAGCCACGGCCTGGTCATCGAGTGCACGGCACACCCCCAGCTCGACACATCGCGCACTCGAATCCACGTTTAAGCGCCCAACTGTTCAGATGGATCGCTCAGCTACGCCCTCATGGTATCCATGCAAGTCGGTATACTCGAACGAGCTGTCCAGCTCAGTCTCCACCCCAACTGCGACACACACTGTCGGGCCAATGTGTCTCATGGGTGAGCCGACACCATTATCCCTCCAGCTGGGATCTCCAACTGGCTCTTTGCGGCATCCACCCGAGCAAACGCATTCAAATGAGTCGTTTTGCTCAGTCGCAGTCTGTCGGTCAAACCAACGGGCTGTTACTTCGCCGCACTCACCTGGGTCAGCGTGTCTGCCCGAGCGACATCGTTCCGTTACAGGTTGTCTGTCAATGGCAACACGTTCCCTTAGTGCTACACATCACGAGGTCGAATCATCAGCCTTGCCATGTCAATCGGATTATATAGCTGCCCCTTTGCGGTGCTCACTGGATCCAGCGTGCCTGTCCGAGCAGTCTCATTCAATTGTGACTGGTTCGTCGGGTACGACATGCACCGCTGGCTCAACACGCTACAAGGTTGAACCGGCATCTTTGCCTGTTTGTTCAGATAGTGTAGCTGTTCACTCATGTCACCCATTTGACCCGGGTGGTTCAAGCGAGCCAGGCAGCTTAGTCCCCACCGGCTTATCAGCTGCGATGCACGCCATCAAGTTGATGCGCTACCCAGCCAACCAGGCATTGCCGCTTGCCAAGCCGGAACGCTTGCATGCGCTGTATGACTCTGAGGTGGTCTACCCATCGACTGCAAGGCGCTTCACTAGTCGGACACGTCGTGTGGTCAAATCGTGGTTCAAGTTCCCGATTGCCCAGACAGATTGCCAGGCTGCACCCTCAAGGCACCCACCAGAGCTAGTGTGCCTGAATGAGCCAGACTGCCTAGCTACCACCTGTTCTTCCACAGTGATGCTCCTTAGTAGCTTGACACGCCTTTTGGCTGAGTCGACATCGTCACTCGTCCGGCCAAGCTTCCCAGCTACCCCTAGGTATCATCCTTCCAAGACCGCGTGCTCACCTGGACTGGAACATTCAGGGGTGGTCTATGCATCGAACACGGCACACTGCCCACATTTTCCAGACGTCCCTTTGTGTTGTCCTCCCGAAATAGTGTGCCCACACGAGTCACGACGCTCAACCAAGGCCTGCTCACCGTGCACAACGCATACTGTCGCTATAGCGCGTCGTACAATAGAGCTGATGCGCACGCAGGTTCAGTCGAACCCGTCGATGGTCACCTTGTGCCGTCCTCCTGAGTTGGTGCACTTGTTGGAGCCATATAGCTCAGTCACTCTGGTATATCTGCATGGGCGGAACCTCCCAGGAGCGGATGACCTGTCGAGTTATTCGCGTTGTCCTCACGAGCTGGGGCACTGTTATTATCTGTACCATCCAGCCAGCGCTGGATCGCTAATTGTGACGAATTCTATCGTCTCGACGCGTCAGACGATCGCACGATCAGTCGGCATTGGTGTTCGGGCTCACAACAAAGCTCTCAGTAGTGAAGTTGACGTGCCCAACCCCCAGCTGGACGGAACCCAGATCATGACACCAATGTTGCAAGACTACGCCAATGATGCCGAGAGCAATTGTCTTACGATCATCCCATCCTTTGACGGTTGGACCCATAAACTGTCGTCCCTGCCTGCCCAGTTGGATCCTCTGACAAATCCTTCACATCACCCATGTGAGCTAGAACACTCTTGTGAACTGCACCGCTCAGCCACGGCTGGTTTGCCAATTACGATGGTTTCCAGTGGTTTGGTGGGTCAAGTGATTGAGCCAATGTCATCATCTGCATATATACCGACCACGATGCACTTCCTCGATTCGATGCACCGTGTGATCAAATTGGCATCATCGCATGATCAGTTGGATTCCCCAGCTGTTCCTGCGCGTCGACTTCTCAAGTTGGCACGCTCGAACGGACCGACTGCAACCCATTTGCCAGTCCTGATACCCTTCATCGGTTCCACATGTCAATCCTTTCAGGCGGAAGGGCGACCCATCATCCTTATAGACGCTCACACTTTCAACAAAGCTTTCGAATGCGACATCTACCTGTCTAACCTCCAGCTGGGTGGAACTCAGATTATGCATAAGAATGGGGTTTCTCATTTGGTTACATTGAGTGGTCTCGAAGGAACGACACTGATGTGGTTAAGCTACGATCTTGGTATCGAGGACGACCGACTTCCAATTACCTCACCCATCGACAGTTGGCCCAAGATTGCATGTTGGCACATGCCACATCGCTCAGCAACGGCACACTCACTGATCGTAACACATTCCATCGATTCAATGCATCAAAGGATCTCACGACCCATCGGTATTGATGCGCGTCGCATCTATCTCGGTCACCAATCCATCCAGGTTAAAGGGCAGCATATCATCCTCACAGTTATTCCGGTTCTCAATGAGGATCTCAACTACGGAATCCATGCAGCTAATCCCCAGCTGGGCGGAACTCAGCTTACGACATCAATGTGGCTAGGCTGCGTCCTTGATGTCAAGGGCAGCCGTCTCCCAACCACCTTGCCCATCGACGGCTGGATAACTTCACTTGCCCAGCCAAGTTACTTGACGGTTACCGTGTGCTGTCCCATCGAGATGATGTGCTCATTTGAGTCATACAGCTCATCGGTGGTCCATCTGTCAACCATAGCGTCTCTCCAGTCGGATCCTCCGACTGACCCCCCGCGTAATCCTATCACGCTGGCACGCTCACGTGTGCCAGGTCATTCAGGGGCAGGCAAATCATCAAGCGCGATGCACCCTGTTGACCGTCTAGGTGCTCTTTTGTCTTACCCTCTCAAGCCGGAGTGCTCGTGCCATCTGTGTCACTCAGTCGCAGCTGGTCGGCCGATTATGATGAATCACATCCGCTTGCCCTGCCAAGCGGTTGAGCTGACCTCTTCGTCTACTAGCTCAGGATCTCCGACTGTATCCACGCACTCCTTTCTCAAGTCAGCACACCCGCAGTCAGCACACCACTCGGTAGCGGCGCATGCACCAATCATGACTTGCTCCACCAATTCAATGCGTCATACAACCGAGTCGATATTCTCGCACGACTGGTGGGATCCTCCAGCCGTGCCTGCATGTCAACTTCTTGAGCTAGTACGCTTGAATGGGCTATATTGTTCAGCGGTAGCCTATCCGTCAATCACGACACACTCTGCCGGGACGATGCGCCATGCGATTGGGCAAGTGTCCTTGCATGATCAGCCATATCCTTCAGCTGGTCACCCACCAGAGACAGCAGGTGTATCGGCTTGCCACGTATCGGGATCGTCACCCTTGCTTGGTTTGTTGGACATTTTGGCAGTTCATTCACGATGCCCTCACGAGCTGGGGCACTCACTGAACCTGCACTGTTCAGCCAGCGGCGGTTCTTTGATTGTGATTAAATCTACTGGTTCGACGCGTCGAGATATCATACGTTCTGCCCTCATGGTTGCTCAGGCCCTCAACCAAGTTCTCGGATGTGACATCTACACGTCTAAACCCTTTCTGGGCGGAATTCAGATTACGACACTGATGTGGCTAGGCTACGTTCCTGGTGTCAGGGACGGTCATCTCCCAACTACCCCGCCCATCAACGACTGGGACCGTAAGCTGGGGCCTTTGCCTGCCCGGCCAATTCCTTCGACTGTCCCTTTACGCTCCCCATTCGTGTTAGCATGCTCTCTTATGCAGAAGAGGCCGGAGCCTGAGATACACATAAAGAGCTACTCCTGATGCAACTGCCCGGGTCATGTCTTGGACCTCCCAATTGGAGGCACACCTCGCCAGGTCTATCATTGCGCTTGGAAATGTCAAGCGCAACGCATGCACCATGGCATCACCCACGTGAAATGTCGTACCCATCGGCCACGGTACATCTCGCCTCCAAGTTATCGCAACAGCTGTCCAACGTGGCACATCTGCCTGCCGCTCTGCCAACCACAACGGTCTGGGAACGCTTGTGCGCAAAGGAGAGAACCCCGCATCCTCGAACTGAAGCCAAACCCGCATGGAACGAGTTTTCCAATGGGCTGTGTCGTTCCATTCACACCCTTACTGAACCGCTGCGTGAAGAGAGGCGGAAAAGCCTAGATAACATAGAAAGGGAACTGTCAGGCGATCATCATAGCAGTTCAGGTTTACACTCGGACTGTCAGTGCGATCGGTTGCACTTTACGTCAAGCCAATGGCGTTACGGGAAAGGACCGCTATGCCTCATGGGCTGTCCCAGATGATTCCAAGTTAGACAAATTACGCACGGCATGGAGTTGTTCAGGCCCAAGACCTGCGTCATCGGAGGGGCATTACAGATACAAAAACGATGGCATTAAAATCCTAGGTATCTCCCTATCTGCTGGTAGACTAAACGCTACTTCGGGCAACTGGACGAGTCTGAGTATCAGCAAGGAAACCGTCGTCTTGACTCAGCCCGAAGACTCGCAGCGGTATCTCTCTCAGGTTGAATGCCTATTTACCTCAGCGCCCCCGGCTACTTCTGTACCTCCCTGTAACACCTCACCTCCTCATGAGGTGATTGACTTGCGCGAAAAACGCGTAAGCGCCGAACAATCAGCCCAAAAAGCTGATCAGATAGAGTTGCAGGAAACTCCAGGGCCCCACTATCCCCTGGAGTCCCCCCTCACGCCCCCAAGTCAAGCCCCAAAGGCAGACAAAAGGAAACAAAGGGAAGAGCCCCCACGTCGGCTATCCGAAAAACTACTGGACTTGTTCCAGGTTCCGTCTGAATGGAGGATGGAAAGTGAAGATCAACTTCTTCTCAGGCTTTCAGCCTGAGAAGGCACGAAAATACGCCCTGAGAGCAGGATCTCCCAGAGCGTGGAAGCTCCAAAAGAACTTCTGCTGTTTACACTCCCACACACCATGCCAGACAAGGCAAGGTTGCCAACCTCGGAGGAGGTCTCCGAGATAATGAAGAGGAGGCGAACTGAAATGAGGGAGTTCGCTGAGGAAGCCTTACGTAAAAGTAAGGAAAAACCAGCGAACAAACCCCTCTATGAAAGGGAAGCACCCTCCACAACGGCCTCGCCTAAACAAAGCGAGCGTGGAGTGTTCACTCCAAGAACCCATTCTGGAACTCCCAGAAGCGGAAATGTCAACTGGGGAGAGTCTCTGCTCGCCCAACCAAACTTCCTCCTGGAAAACCAGGAATCGCACATAATAAACGCGATAAACTCGATCCAAAAAAAGATCAAGGAAACGAACCATAATAGCATGGCTCGTCTAGAGATAACTCTAGAAAGAATGGCCAACGCAATCGACGTGTTGACTGAAAAAATCAGCGAACAAACAGATTTGCTGAAGGAAATAAATTTCTCACAAAAAAGTGAGGAAACAAATAAACACCCCTGGACCACGGTCCAGGACATAAATAGAACTCGCGAAAAATTCACGAAAAGAACCACCAGTGAAAGCACACTGGAATATCATCAGCGACTCGACAGAGATGCTAAGGAGATCCTTCTCCCAAGGATAGGAGAAGACGATGCCGAAAGAAGGCATCGTTCAGAGATTAGGAGGAGAATTGGCACGTACCAAAGGTTCGGCCAAACATCCACTTATGACGGACCTCTCGAACAGAGAGGTAACTCATTCACACCCTCTCAAAACAATGAGAGAATACAAATACAACTTCAGGCGAATTCGCCTGAAACCAAAGAAACGCTGCGAGGAAGATTTCCCCCAGCAAAAACCCGCCCAAAGGAGAGATCTCCATTGGATAGCAACCCCGTGAAGGCAGGGGAGCAAGAAGAGTACCTGGAGAAATGGTACGAAAAGGCCATAAGAATGGCCGAAGTGAGAATACTCACTCCCTACCCAGAAGGAGTGAAACCAGAAGCCCTAAAGAATGGGCCGGCATTCCCTGACAAGAAATGGTCAGGGGAGAACGACATGGAATCGTTCTGGCAGTGGTTCACAGAACTACTGGGATTCCTCGCCTCGCGAGGATGCAAAGGTCCCCAATTTGATGAAGTCCACCTGGACTGCTTGATTCGTGGATTAGGGGGGCCCGCATTTGACCTCGGAATGAGACTCCGAGACGAAACTCTCCTCAGAGGAGACGAGGGCATGTTCCTCGAAGTTCTCAACATATTGATGAGAACATTCATCAAAGCCTCCGCCACGTTGAACGCGACAAAGAAATACCGCAACGTCAAATACGAAGCGGAAAAAGGCCTAAAACAGTTCTACTTAGAACTGTCAAAAGCAGCGTCCCAGATGGTGACGCCACCAGACCAGGCGTCCTTCAACGCCAGGTTCCTAAACTACATTCCCCTCGAATGGAAGAGGGAAATGATTGCTCATGATAGAATCAGAGCAGACTTCTCCTCAAACGAGGAGATGTTAAAAGCAATATCTCGTGTAGACAAGATAATTGACGGGCTGAAGATGTCTTCAGCCTACAAATCAGGTTATTATACCAGAACAACTACCACAGCAACCACGAGCTGCGGCAGAGCCCTCCCATCAGGAAAGAAGGCGGAAGATGTTACAAAAATGGGGCCGGAGGCGCCCATTTTCGTCCGTTCGAGGCGCAGGAAGAGGGAAGGGGTAGAGGTTGAGCTCATGCGATTTTACAGATATTTTAACATATGGTTTAACAGATGTTTTCACAAGTGGTAGTTTAGGTGGTTAATAATTGGATAAACTCTAATTATTTACATATCATGTGATTTGGGTGTGTGCAGGGCCCATAAGAGTCTAAATTGGGAAATTTCCCATTTCCATAACAGAAGAAGCTGAAACCCAGATGGAAAGAGGATACATCCTCGAAAAACTCGAGGAAAACTGACCAAAAGTCAGTTCCAATTTGCGGCAAATGCGGCAAAATAGGGCAAACGAAAGATTGCCCAAGACACAATATAACGAGCGATGAAAAACCAAGGCGCATAGCTGCCATGGAGATCGCGAACTCAACGGATGAAGAGTCGAAAGGCTCATCAGATGAGAAACCAGAGAACAACTCTGGTAACTCCGAAGCATCAAGCTTCGAAGTAGAGGACCCATACGAAGGACCTCAATACTCACCCGACTCAGAGGGTGAGGAAGTCAACGTTGGGACCATAAGAATGGGCCCAATGTCAGTCATCGACCACGATGACATAAATTATAAAATCAAACTGGCTGTAGCACACCAGTTAGAAAACATGGCAGATGAAAAAGTCGCCGAAGCCTTGGTGGAAGCACCAAGAAAAGATGCCTTGGGGAAATACACCAAAGTACCCAAGGAAAACAAGGACAAAGGGAAGAAGGACCAAAAGTCCATCGAAACCCAGTCCCCCTTGTTTGATGCGAAATTCCGCATCTCAAAAGACGCGGGAAAATACCCCGCAAACAGACCGCTCTCAACAAAGAGAACGCTAACGGCTCACATAAAAATAGCAGGCATAAAAGCCTATGCGCTATTCGATAGTGGAGCCGAAACGGACGCGTTATCGCCAGACTTTGTCTGCGCAGTCCACATCCCAATTCTCCAATTGGAGAACCCAGTCGTCCTTCAAATGGGGATGAAAGGAACAAGATCACAGATCCTGTTCGGAACCAATGTGGACGTTGAGATCAACGGCCATGTAGAAAAACACTACTTCGATGTAATTAACATCGACAGATACGATGCCATCTTCGGTGCCCCCTGGTTAAACAAAAACCAGGTAAGCTTAGACTTCCGGTCCCACAAAGTGAGAACGGTGAACAAGGGCAACATAGACACCCTTGGAATAAGTGAAGACCATGTGACGAGATCACATGGATGGAAAACTCGAGCAAGAGCCCAAGAACAACCAAAAAAGAAGCCCCCCTGACAGGGAGGCAGGATTGAAACACACCTCAGGGTAATCACAAGAAAATACCCTGAAGGTTGGCCCAATCCTAGTCCGGAAGGACTAGAACTTCCAGATGTACCACACCTGGAAGGTCTCTCCATGAACAACCCCAAGTTCGAAATACTCAGGGAGTGGTGGAGAGAAAAATTTGAAACCATAATGGCGCCAGCGCCATTAGAAATGCCTCCCTTGAGGGAGGTGAACCATCGAATCCCGTTGAAGGATCCAAACAAGAAATTTTGGGAAAACACCCTGAGATGTCCCGCAGCACTGCAGGAAGCACTAGCGACCAAAATAGATCGCTATGTAAAAGCAGGATGGTGGTATCCTGCGAACAGCGAGCGAGCATGCCCGCTACTGTGCATCTGCAAAGCAGATGGATCTTTGCGCATGGTAATAAACACGAGGAACCGTAACTCAAACATGATCCTCGACGTCACACCAATGCCAGACATGCGACTGATCCAAGAATCAGTCGCCAGAGCAACATACCGATCCAAGATTGATATGTCGGATGCGTACGAACAAATACGTGTGGATCCAGAAGACGTCCATAGGACGACATTCTCCACGCCCCATGGGACGTACAACTCGAACACGATGCAGCAAGGAGACTGCAACGCTCCCTGCACCTTCCAGCGCACACTGACCTGGGAACTACGAGGAGAAGTAGGCAGACGCCTACACGTCTGGTTCGACGATATATTCACCAGCACAAGCTCGGTGGAAAACCACAATAAAGCACTATTGTGGTTATTCACTTGCCTAAAAGGGGCGAAATTCTACATAAGCCGGAAAAAATTCCAGCCATTTGCCCCAATCCTAGATGTTCTAGGAAGCCGAGTGGACGAACAGGGTATCCACGCTCAAGCAGATAAAATGGAAAAAATCCGCAACTGGCGAGAGCCAGTAGACCACACAGGAGTCCTAAGATTCCTGGGAATGGTAGAATATCTATCGATATTCATGCCAAATGTCAGCGGTTACACAGGACCACTGCAAACAATCTGCTCAAACAAGCAGACATTCAGGTGGACACCACTCCACCAGAAATGCTTCGACGAAATCAAACGTCTAGCATGCAGGGCTCCGATCCTGAAGCCCATCCAGTGGAACCCACCGGAAAGCCTCTCAGAAGAAGAGAGGACTAAACTCCATGTCTGGGTCATAACAGATGCATGCCCAGCAGGCATGGGTGCATTAATTGGACAAGGCGAAAGGTGGCAGACCTGCCGCCCGGCCGCATTCATGTCCAAAAAGTTCACCAACACACAACGTAGGTACTTCGCCTATGAGCTTGAGGCACTGGGTGTCCTCGAAGCACTCATGAGATGGCAAGACGACCTCATGGGAGGCCGTGAATTCACAGTAATCACGGACGACAAAGCTTTGGAATATTTCAAAGCGAAAAACCACAACTCAGGGAGACACCTGAGATGGCAAGCCTTTTTCGCAAGCTTCAATTGCGAAATAAAATACGTGGAAGGCCACAAAAACAAAGTGGCAGATGCACTCTCACAATACTACGACTCGTCAATGGACGAGGATCTGCATTTCGACAATTATGTGTCGGCGGACATCCACCTGGACAAAAATGCAGAAGACATTATCCCCAACAGAATCGAGGAATATGAAGAACTGCTACTAAGCAGTACCCTGAGTAAAAACTCAGAGAGAAAGAGACTCGCAGCGATACGCGCGAGAAACACCCTAGAGGAAGCTCTAGGGGGGAGCGCCCAAAATCTAGAAGAAATCATAACTCCAGAAGAGAACCTTCGAAAACAATTCGAAGAAAAAGACCTCATTGAGGCAATAAAATCTGGATACTTGAAAAGCCAGATCCACCGGGAAATCCTAGAGAACCCAGGGAATTTCAAAAACTTCTCCATAAAAGATGGGCTGATAACCCGACTTGGAGAAGGAGGAACGACCCAAATAGTAGTCCCGAAAGGA